ATTTTTCCGTGCCAAATCTACAGCAGTTAAAATCCCCTAACAGAGACCAGGGGATATTGGACGGAGGGGCAGCCGACCCAATCGAAAGCCATAGAGCCTTTCTGTCAAAAGCTTTATTAGCTGCATAAACAATAGTCAACTGAAACAAGAAACTGTTGCCTACCAAAACATTCCCATTAATCATTTGCTCCGTGATTACATTAGGAGTAAAACAGAGTTTACTAGCATCCCATTTAATCCAGATTCTACCGGAAGAAGTCAGGTGAAAATTATGACAACTCTCCTCATTAGAGAAGAGAGTATGAGAAATTTCGAAAAAAGGATCATCAAGAGAAGGGGAATGAATCCGGGTCTCCAAAAGACAAAGCATGTCAAGCTTAAAAGATTTTATTAGTCGTTTGCAGCTGAGAACTTTCTCAGCGTGATTAAAACCCCGAACATTCCACGAACCAATGGTTGGGAAAAACATCAAGAAATATAAAGGGATTGGGATTTTTTACTCTGCTTTCCCTTAGCAGATTTCTTAGAAATTTCTGATGTAGCTTGTTTTTTCCCCTTTCCTGGCTGCTTGAGAGCATTCCCAACTATATCAGAAGAGGAGGCCATATTTTCATTTATGTCAATATCAGTTTGAGAACTGAGAATTTCAAATTTATTGGGAGAATTAATATCATTCGATGACTTCTGAGGCGAAACCAAAAGCGAGGTAGAGGAAGCAGATAGTTCTGCAGTGGGAATGTTTAAATTTGGAATATTAACCACATTGTTGTCTACCGAAACATCAACCTCAACCGGCATCACAACAGGGTTCGGGGGGTCTTCCTTGCTGGGAGCAGTCCGAGAGAAAGGCGATTTAGAGGTGGGGGTAGGAGAATGAGGTTGATAATTTAATGGCTTCCCAATTGAATTGGTATGCAAAGGTAATATAGGAACAGAAGCAGCAGCAGCATCAGGGGTTGAAGTAGAGACTTCAGTAGGTTTAGGCTTAGACCGAGGAGGTCTGGAAGGAGGGCGAGAATGAAACCTGTTAACCGGTTTTTTGCTGAAGCTTCTTCCACGATGGTTAGACAAAGGTTTCCCTTGATCATTATTAGTTGTAGAAGGATTCAACGGACAAGAAGAGGAGTAGTGTACCAAAGACTTACAGTGGTCACAAGGAGAAGGCCTCCATTCGTATTGAACCTTAAGCCCTACCTCATCACCATCCAGCGAAACCTTGATTTCCTCTGGATATGTGGCATTACAATCAACCGGAACACAGATACGAGCATATGTCAGTCTTGTTTTTTGTTCGGTTAGGTGATCTGCAGCCAGGGGAACTCCAATCTTACTAGCTATCCTCGATATGCCCTCAGAGTTCCAGCAAGCCAGAGGAAGGTCGTGGATTTTGACCCAAATCGGAACTGAAGAGAAATTTTCCCTCTTCGATTTGAACTTAGGGTGCCATTTCTGGAGCACGAAGGGTTTTCGAAGCAGGAACCAAACGCCTTTAGACCAGGCCATGTCGTAGTCTTCAACACAAGAAAATCGCAGAAGAAAAAAACCATCGCTGAGCGAAAGAAGTTTGAGAGAACCTTTCAAAGTCCACGTTTTGTTTAATGCATTCAAAAGCGCTTCATAGAAGGGTCTGCGTCCTATAGAGTATCCAACCAAACACAAACTCCAATCTTCACTTCCTTGAGCAAGTTTCTCACCGGTAAAAGGAATAACTTCCGGTTCATTTGGGTGATGCGAAAAACTAAAGACTTTAGGGGGAGATGAAGACGTGTTGGGAGCAAAGATCTGACTCCAGTTCCGCACGGAGGTGTTAGGAGCGACAGTCCCTGAGCAGAGAGGCGGAAAATCCGCTGCATGCAGAGTCGAATCCATGGAGAGAAGCCTCCGGCCAAGCCGGAGGGGCGGCGGAAAAGAAGAGGCTCTGCAGAAGAAGGAAACCCTAGCAGAGCGAAAAAATCTCTCACGCCGTCAAAAAAACATCGGCGCAGCTTTCGTTAAGGTTCCATCTGAACGTTATACTTATTACGTGATTGAATAAGTTCTGTTCGGTACGGTTGCAATTATTTATAAATGGATTGTGAAGTTTTTAATTTTTTATGCTGAATAATTATGGCATGATAAATCAATTGATGAATAAGTATGGAACGATAAATCAATTGATTAATGATACTTAAATTTTTAAATTGAATATTAGTTATTTAGGATTTAATTAAGATTATTATTTATTAAGATAGTTTATTATTAAAAAATGATAATCAAACATGAACTAATTAATTAATTACTTGATATAGAAATTGTTAATTAAATGGGTCATTTAAGCTAGTTAAAGACTAATTAAACTGTCAATTAGGTTCATTAATATTTTCCTGATATTAATTATGCTAATTAAGTCTTAAATCTTTAAATGTATTGATTTATTAATAATACATAGATGGATGATTTAGACGCATATCTTGTCAACCGTAGGGGTGTCAATTCGG